GGAACCCCCCCTTGAGTGTTAGTGATCTAGTGAATGTGATCATTGTGGTGGGGTGGGGGTCACTCATGTGACAGGAGTGACTGGAAATGAGGTTTGAGAGGTAGGAAGGGCATAGGCCATGGGCACAGGGTATGCCATGATAATAAATCGGGACTTTTTCCTACAGGTGACAGAGTGTCAGTTCAGGATTTTAAGCTGAGAATGATAAGACCCTATTTATACCTTGAATACATCTTTCAAACTACAGTTGGAAAATGGAATAAAAAGATGCTGAAGACAAAAAAACAATAGTTGTGAGGCTATAAAAAAATGGAACAGGTAAAAGATAAGGTTATGAATTTTATAGGTGATAAAAAAAGAAAGGATGGATTCACAATGTACCTATGAATTAAAATAACAAGACTTTCTGATAGAATGGATATGGGGGAGGGGACACTGAGAGAGAAAAAGTATTCAGCCATCAATTCAGACTTCTGACTTAGGTCATTAAGTGGATGGTAATGTCATTAAATGACAGAATGAATAAGAGATGTGGTAGGAGAAACTTACTGATGAGACAAAAAGATACTAAATTCAATTTTGGACTTGTTGAGACATCCAAGCAAAGGGATCCAGCATGTCAACTGAGGTGGTGGTTTGAAAATATGACCACAAATTCTTTGACACTTTTCCATGACTTAGAAAACCCTGCTATAGAAAAGAGACTTGCAAATTTGTGGTAAAGTTTTAAAATATTGTTTTATGTATACTTGCATACAACTATACATATCAGAATGATGGTTTTAAAGTACTTTCACAATATTTTGTTTAGTGATTTTCAAAACCCCCTTCATTTTGCTTCAGTCCTGGGTTTTAAAATGAATAGTATTACTTGAGTCATAAATAATAAATATAAATACAACAAGATAACACATGTTTGTTTATATTCCAGGTTTGTCCACTGGTGTTTGGCAGGGATATAAACCCTTCATTAGAGGGGTCATAGAGTTGTCCATCTTCCTAACATGTCAATATGTCATATTTCTTACTTGATACTGAAGCGTGTTATAAATTAGGAAAGAACGTAAGATTTACGAGTATGTGGAGCTTGACTGAACCTCAGCTAGGAATTTAATGAATAATACTAGATATCACTATTTTTACTGAGAATCTGTTATGTTCCAGACATTTACATTTTATCCTCAACCCTCAGTAGAACTCTGTAAAGTGGTTATTAATTTACTCATTTTAAATTTTAAGATTAAGGCTTAGAGAAGTTAAATAACTTGTCCAGGGTCATTAAATAATGAGGAAATTTGGACTTGGATCTATCTGATCAACAGTGGGTAGTAAGAGCTTGAATTCTGTAATACGACAGACCTCTGTTTGATACCAGCTCTCCACTGTTTGATACAGCTTGGGCAAGTGTGACTTAACAACTCTAAATCTCAAATTTATTTATCTGTAATAGAAAAATAATACCAATTTAAAGGATTATTTTGGTAGTTTAATAATATATTCATATATATATATGCATATGTAATGATAATTTAATGAATGTGAGTTCTCTTCTATTATCCATTTTAGTGTATGTGGCTTCTTACATAGTTACTATGTTTCAAAGCATATTTTAGTGTGTTATCCCCCTACTGATGAAAGTTCTTCCCGTTCTAATGAGAATTGATGTTATTTTATTTATTTTTTAAAGAAAAAGTAACTAAGCTTGTACAAAGGTAACCAGTATACACAAAATCACAGATAGATTTTGAAATACCATCTAAACTTTTTGTTTATTCCTTCCTCTATACTAGTAAACCACAAGAGCACAATAAACTAGGTTCACTTAACTAACTAAATTCCAGATAGCTAAGAATTCAATATAGAAGAAGCTTGAGAATTTATAATCCATTGATGAAGATTTATCAAAAACTTTAATGAATCTACCTCTTCTTCCTTCTACTTTTCCTCCACCCCTTATTTCTTAGTTATTTTTACCTGTATGAAAATTATAGAAACTCATGACTCTAAGACTTCATTACTTTTAGAGAATACACTATAGTAGATTTACTATGAATAATTCACACCATACTACACTTGTCAAAAGGAATGAACAAAGTATATATCATGGTACAGGAGCCTTGATTTTTATTGTTTTTGCTCACTTACTAATTCTCCAACTCAACTCCCTGTCACTGTGAATTAGCATAGTTCTGCTGTATACAAATATTGTATTCTGGGTAATTAGATATTGGGATAGGAGCCTCTGTAAATTACTTTAACTGGGGCCAGTACTCAGGCAAATAAGAAGTTTTTAGTTCTGTTTCTAGTTTAGGTTATTTTCTGACCCTAAGCAGCCTGACATAAAGGAGCACTTTTCTTTGTCAAAGGCAGTCTTTTCAAATTTAACTGCCAGACACACTATTGAGCTATGTGTTCAATTCTAATTGGCAGAGATCTTTTCAATTCAACAGTTTCATCTTTAATGCAATGAATGTAAGATTTAGTGTAGGTCTTTTCAATGGGTTTTCCATACTGGTGATTAGGGCAGAGGATTTGAACATAAGCAGGCTGCTGGCTATTTCTTCTGGCCAATTTAAATTGATTCATACAAGTCCTTTGTACTCCAGGAAAAGGGCAGAACAAATCCAAGTGAGTAAGACAGCTATCACTACTCTCAGATAGAATAGTAGAAAGGAAGGCGGGGAGCCGACTTGGGGAGGGGCAACATTCTAAATAGTGTAAAATTGGAGCTCTGAGCAGTCTGGAAGAGAAATATTGAAACTTAACCAGTAGGCTTCTATATAAAATCAAGGTCACCAAGAAAATTATTTCCAAGATTGATTTTGATATCTTAAGGTTAAAAGGCTACGTGCATGGAAAGTATTCTTCATATCTGGTCCCACAAGGAGCTATAGTGAGTAAACTCTTTTCTGAAAGTATTCCAAAGGAAAGTAGGTAACTCTCACAGAACCCAGAACACCCCTGCCTATCCTATATCAGAATAGCCAAAGAGGGCAAGCTAAAAATTTTGTTTGGGTCAGGTGAAAATTTTATCTTAAAACCATTCAAACAGGGATGGGTGCTCTTTAGAAAGACACCCTCCCAGTTTTCTGTTAAGAGGGTAGACTAGAACAAGCTATTCAAATTGGGCACATCCAAAGAACCCCTTTTTAAATAGACTCTGGTTATGGAGCTCCCTCTGGTTTCTCTCTCCCAGGACAGGATAGGGAATGGGATAAGCCATGATGGTGCCATTTCTACGTCATCTCTATTCTATAAAGAAGAAACTCCAAATGAAGTTTTAGTGCTTCCTTAACTCCATCTCCAAGTTGCTCAGGAAAATCATTTATGCAAAACATCCATCTCCTAAGTACTAGCATTCAGTCTGTAAAAATTCCTAGTAATAATGAAATGCAACCCTGATGCCTGGCACATTAGTTGAACAAATAAGGGTGACAAATATGGCATATGTTATAGAGACTGACAGGTAAGTCCTTTAAGCTAAAGGATATTTGTTGTTTGGTAGGAAATCTTAGGAGCTTACACAATGACTCATTGTTTCATGAAGTGTGGAATTCCACAAAAAAATAAAAATGAAACCAGTTTTCAACTATCACTCTCAATCAACTAAAAACAAAATCAATGCCTGTGAAGAGCTACTTGCAACAGCTATTTCTGAGCTGTCTTGCGGAAGACTACTGTTTCATAAACAGTCTTTCTCTGAAACTCAAATTCTGAAGAGACACTGAATCACTTGAATAAATGCAATGTGTTGAGTAACTAGAACTTCTTAAGGCCTCCTGAGGCTTCAGAATATGTAACATTTTCCAATTGATACTGAAATACAGAATTGCCTGGAATTTCTTTTATACAAAACAGAAGGTCATTGTACCTAACAGAAATGTATACTAACAGTACTCTTAATAGTACCCAGTCGAAATTTACCCAAATGGCCCTAAACAGTAGAATGAATAAACATATAGGGCTATGGTTATAAAACATTATACTATGCAACAGAAATGAACAATTTACAACTACGTGCCCATAATATGGGTGAATCAAAAGAAGCCAGACACAAAGATAACAATGTACACTGTCCCAGATCACCTGAAAATTTAAACTCCAAATGAGCTTGTAAATAGACCTCACTTATGAGGTGCAATACATTTTAGTAGCAATGAAAAAGATGCTATTTCACTTTCAGATTGTCTTTAGTTTCCTCTTCCTTAAAATAAAGAATTCATTATTAGTCACCTTCATTTCTGAAGTACCAATTCTTATTGAAATGTCAATTATTGGCTACTTACTATGTGCCAACCCCTGTCGTAAACAATTTGCACATATATCTCATCCAGTCGTTATCCTACAAGGTTGGAGTTGATACTATCCTCACTTTTCAGACAAAGAAACTTAAGTTCAGCAAGAATAAATAACATTCCCCAAATCAAAGAAGATGGCTTGATATAAACTCAGGTGCTCTCACATCAGAGCCTGGGGTTTCAACATTTTGAGCTCAAGTAAGTTTTACCACTTTGAGCTCAAGTAAGTTTATATTTAAGTATTAATCATTGGCTCCCTTTTTCTAGTGTAGGCATTGCCAGCAGGGTTAGGTCTAACAAGTACTCCTTTCCTTTCTTTGTATTTATTTCATTTTTAAAACTTTGAATTCTCTTCAAAATTCCTCTGTATAAGAGATAAAGACTACCTCTACATCTGCTCTAAGAAAGTAACTATCACTACATACCACGATTTCTTTCTCTGGTACCTAAGAATATGATAACTCATTCTCTTTTGAAATTTCCAATACAGAGAATGCTTTCAGCTCATCTGTTTCCCAGGAGTTGCCTTCCCTAGTGACAGTCCATTGGACTCTTTGATTCAAGTTCCCAAAGATTCAAATATAATCTCCAGAGGAAATGGAAGTTTGCAAGTCATGCAAGCAAAAGAATTATTGATGCATTGGCATAATCTGTGAACACAGTTCAGTGGATCACTACAGAGACGCAATGATGAAAATATACCTTTTTCATAAGCCCACATCAAACATGTCTGTTCATCTTTTTCACCACTAGACCTGCTGGGATCACATGCTACAAGATTCATGTCAGCTCCACTATCCAGTAAGAACTGAACCAGGCGAATGTGACCATGGTAGCAGGCAGAGTGCAACCCTGTAATAGAATGAAAGTGCAGGGGGAGAAAGGAGGAACACTGAATCCCAGTTATCAAGACAGTCATTACCACATAATAGCATTGTTGCCAGAGATATTAAGCAAGCATTAATGTCTTTGATAAAAAATTAATTTTATTACTGAGCAAACATGCCATACTTTAAGCAAAAGAAGCACCAGATTTTAGTCAATGTTCTGTACAGACTGGCTTTTGTTTAGCACACTTTCTAGTTTTTCTGTACCCACTGTAATTACCAAGAATAAATGTTAGCATTTTTGTACAAATCGAATAATAAAGACTTCACACCAGTACTTTTCTTGAGCAGCAAGTAAAGGATAAGACAGTGTGGTCAGTCTGTTCCTGGGCCAGGCCATAATGAATGAGTCAAAGCAAATAATTTAGCATAATAACGAAACCTAGCTAAAGGTAGTCTGCTATTTATTTGCACCATGCATCATCAGTTCTAAGCGATGTCACTGATAAAACAGCCATTCTCATTAGGGTTGACCACTCCCGCTGCCCCCTTCCTTCTCGGACATTTTTCTTGAGCATTGATATGCATTGGAAAACAGAAATATTCTGTCTTACCTGTGTGCCCATCCCTTCCTTGGTGGTTGATGCTTACAACATTCTGATCAAGAAGAAATTTCACCAGGTCAATGCTTTTACCATAGGTACAAGCACTGAAAAAAATACAACATAAGGAAGATGAAAGGCCCCCATTATGGGGTGAATTGTGTGACCACCAAAAGAGTATGTTGAAAACCTAACTTCTATAACCTCACAAGGTGACTGTATTTAAACAGGTATAATTTGAAGAAGTAATTAAGTTAAAGTGCAATCATTAGTGTGGGCTCTAATCCAATATGACTGGTATCCTTATAAGAAGGGAAGATCAGTACTCATATGACACAGACAGATGACCATGTGAAGACAGAAGGAGAAGTTGGCTGTTGACAAGCCAAGGAGAGAGGCCTCAGAATAAATCAAACCTGCCAACACCTTGATCTTGGATTTCCAGTCTCCAGAACCATGAGAAAATTAACTTTTGGTGTTCAAGCCACCCAGTTTGTGGTATTTTGAATGGCAGCCCTAGAAAACCAACTTAGTGCTGATTTACCCAGACTGTTCTAGATGTTGGTGTGTGCATTGCAGTGACAAAGAGACAGAGAAGGGAGAAGGGAAGGAGAGAGGAGAAGGAAGTGATTTTTTTTAAAAAGCACATACAGCAATAACATCCTAAAGTTTCTGAAACCTGGGCTTTCAAGAAAGGAGTTGTATATAATTTCTAGTATTTTCAAATTAAATATTTCCTATGATATTAATTCTTTTTTCATATAAAGAGGAAAATATTACAATAGTTCCATGCATTTTTAGCTATAGGACCTAAGCATTCCACAGGACTTAATGGGGGGATTCAAGAGGGTCCTGAGAGATTTAAGGGACAACCTGAACTTGTGATTGGCACTGAAGGCGATGGGGCAGTCTTTTGGGACTGAACCATTAACCGGTGGGATTGGACAGTAACTCCATATTGTATTATGGTATAGATATGCCTCTGTTTACCATATAGTAGTGTTCCTTTAAGGAGAGAAGGGACTGTCTGTTCCTACCAGCAGCAGCCCAAGGGAAGTCCTTAGTTAAGTCTTTCTCAAACAACTGAGTGAATAAAAAGCCAACCAGCCATCTCAGTGCAATAGATCATATCACCATTAACTGTTTGCATATATATAGGACCCATAACACTACATGTTTATGAGTTAATGTTCCATTAACTTATTGTTCCTTTTCAGAACAACTATTTATAGGCAATGGTGAGTTCTGAATATGTACATATATGTGTGTGCATATGGTGAATATGTATGTGTGTGTGTACATATGAAAACAATAACAGAAGTGTATTCAGTGCTTACTATGTGCAAAGCATGATCTTCTTAGAGGTGACAAGCACATTCTGATTATATCTGGTTCCAGTTTGCACAGAGTAGCAAAATGATTTGAAAACTAGCCTGATGTGTCAGTTTTAACAAGAATGACTTAATGGGAAAAGAGGACACCAGTAACCATTCATGCCGGTTCTGCCAATTGTCCCTTTTGGGGACATATGCTGCAGACCCATTTGACTGAAGGCATAATCTGTAGAGTTCTTGCTTCTGTTCTATTGCAGAGTGTGTAGAAAACAGACAAAATATTTTAGTACTGGAACATGAAGATGTGTAAAACTAATTCCAAAGAACAGGATTTGGAATTAGTAGGGCATTTAATATGTGACTTTTTAGCCATACAAATCCTTGGCTTTACAAGCTTCTTAGCTTCCCTCTGCCTCACTTTTCCAATCTGTAAAAGAGGGATAGTAAATCCATAAAATGATTAAACGGGACAATGGATGCAAATCTTCTGGCATAGTTTTCCTTACCTCTCTTGTGGCTGACCTCTTTGGTTAATAAGAAAAATATGGAAATCCAAGTGAAATTTGATAGGCTGATGCCTGATGCAGAAGCACAAGCTTAATTTTAGTTCAGTATAAAAAAAAGTGAACCTCCTCATTTCTAGTATACATCAGTACAGTATAAACACTATGTAAATATCATATTTATCTCAAATCATTTTTCAGAGATTGCAAACTAGCCAAGAAATCTGTAATGGGTAGGTAAATGATGTTATATTCAAGGTTTACTAAATTCAAGTTATTCTTTTTACTTTTATAGCAAAATAGTAACTAATTGTTCAGACCGAGGGTTTGAAATTTCATAAAATATCTGCCTTCTTTTGGACATTTTAGGGAGTTATGGCTCTGAGTTTTTAGCAACCTTTTCCCTCCTTTCCTCCTTTCTCCTTCCTTCCTTCCTTCCTGTCCTCTTTCCACTTGTTGCAACTTTTCCAAAGCCAACCATTCCTTCAGTGTGCTTTTTTAGAGCACACTGTAAAGGACTCTCATGGATTCCTAGAAAGGAGCTAAGGCCTTCTTAGGTATCTCAAGAGCCACCCTGTCTAAGCTTTTACAGGCTGACAGATGGATGTCTTAGATAGGTAGATACATTTGCACATAAGGTTTAAGTGGTAAGGAAAAGATGTCACATTTGATGCTGATGAATTCTGGTAATGAGATTCTTGTTGGAGGAGGATTATGGGCATTGCCCCTTTTGGCAGCTTTGTGCGAAGTGAAGTGGAATAGAAGCAATATGCTTACAGATGTTGATATGCTCGTTGCCTTGGTAACATCAGTCCCTGTCTTTGTGGCGGCTGCCAGGAATGCAGCATCTGGCTCAGGCCCCATCTGCTGTACCGACTGAGGCATCTGACTTTACCTTTTCTTCTGTGCGTCTAGTTTGGGCTCCTTGTCCTCAGCCCACTCTCTGTGATTGCAACATCTGCCACTATTTGTTCTTGCTTCACGTACACAACTTCAGATGCCGCAGTATGTCAGCTAAATTTAGTAGCTATTGCACTTAGATATTCTTTTACCTGTGAAAAGCTGTTTCACTGAAGATGTTTTCCTTAGTCAGACTTTCTATTCCTGATATTTGGATGATTTCCTTAGCGACTTCAAATTTGCCATTATAACATGCCCTAGAGTTAAAGAAAATATTTCGGTCATAGTAAGAAGGCATGCACAATATACCTAGAGTAACCTATGACACTATATAATACTCACAGGTGCAGAGGGGTGTCTCCATAGATATTAACAACATGTGGCTGAACTTCCAAATCGCTCTGGAGCAGGTACCTCACTATATCGTGGTGTCCAAAGCGAGAACAGAAATGGAGCGGAACATGGTCTTCATTGTCCTGAGCATTCACTGCCATCAACATGAAAGAAAAAGGTATGTTATCTGGAATCCTCTGTTTCTCAGCCTTCTCATGTGTAGTGCCAGGGGCTTTTCTAAGCGCTGAGAGACTCCTGGAAATTGCCAATTAATGATAATAATAAAGGAAATTAGGTGCAACCAATTTTTAAAAAGTCGTAATTCTCTTCTATCACCTATTACCACATTGAACAGGCTTTCTCTGAGCTCCCATAAATTCTATGGAATGCATCTAATCAAATCCACCTTGCACAATGGAATAGGTCAGGAGACCATTAAGCATACAGATACTCATGGCCTTATTTCCACAAACATCTCCTTTCAAATAGATATTTTTTCCCTTTGGGAGACGTTAAAAATTACAGACCCGGCCAGAGAGCCATCCCCAGAGATCTTGTTCGGGAGGTTGGGGAAGGCCTGGCGCTGCGCTCACGAAGCAGCTCGGGAGGCTCTGGGAAGCCGGTGAGTGAGGCTGCCGTGCTGCAGTGCAGAGCACGGCACAGTGAAAGGGCGACAAGCCTCAAAGGCAGGCAGACCTATAACCTGTATGACCTTAGACAGTGATCCAACATTCATTCCTTCGTTCACTCCCTAAAGGGCGTTTGTTCTCTTTGGCGCACTGAGTTTATAATCTCCACTGACATTTGGGGAATTCCCTATACCAAAAGTACTGACCCAAGGCCCAAGCCACGTTCTCTCAGAAAAGTTCAAAAATGCTTTCCAAGCCTTCTTTGCACCTAGAGCCCAGGATTAGTACATGGTGACCATATGTACTAGTTAGGCTTTTTATTCTAGCATGATTTTTAATAGTGGCCCTTTCACTCTCAAAGTTCCCTGGTTTGGACACTTATTTCTAGGTTCCTCCAATCAACACATTATCTCAGACTCTGACATCAGACCTGATGACATAAAAAAGTGGAGCCTAATCTATTTTGGCTATGTAACAGTGGTGGACTAGCTCCACCCAGCTCGCAGTGGCTGCGATTGCAGCCACAGACTCAGCGCCCTGCCCTGTGGGTCCCCGAAGAACAGTGTTGGTGGGAATGCCTAGCAGGGTGGCCATGTGACTTTAAAGAACTAGTTTGGGATCTTGTTCCTCACTGTGAGAATTCCAAACCTGGTTCTCCACCCTGTCCTGTGGAAGAATCTGTGTGCGAATTGATATCCTTTAATATATTCATTTTTATTCTTAAATTTGCAAGGCTTAGTTTTCAATGCCTGCAGATAAGAACACCTTACTGATACATACACATTCCTTAACAAATATTAAATGATCACTATGTGCCAGACACTGTGCTAGGTGTTAGAGAAAATGATTCCTTATCAGTAACAATGGTTGCAGGGATGCTGAAAAGATCAAAGGAGATATGACTGAAAAGCATCTAGTATGATGTCTCTCTCCTATTAGACACTGATAAAAATGTCTACTATCCCTTTTTACTAATTTCCCTCCTAGAAATTTGCTAAGTGCCCAGACCAATAAGCTATAAATTCATAGTTTCTGCCCCCCAAGAAACTTAAAATCTAGCTGAATAGTCAACAATTTACAGGTCTGAAGTAATAAAAACTAAACAAAAAGCTGCTAAATTCTGGATCTTTCTTAGTATAATTTTTAAAATTAAATAACTAGATCAACTGCTATATAACCATCTATGATTACTTTGCCTTTCTCTACAGGGTACTTTGTCCAAAATTATATATATATATGTATATTCAATACTATTATAAATAACTTCTCATGGTAACTATACTTATGTTGAGTATTTTATAATGTAGTGAACATTTTATAATATATATAAAATTGTTGAATCACTATGTGTATACCTGAAAGCAATATATTATATGTTAACTATGCTTCAAAAAAAATTTTAGTACATTTTTAAAAAAGAAAATGACTCTTAACAAACTCCATTAATTCTCATTCTTATATATAATAAAAATTATCTATGGAACCAAAAGAATTGAAGGAAAGGAACTTTTTTTTAAATTGATGAAAATAAGGAGGGAAAGAACAGGAAGATAATAATTAATTTAAAATACATACAAGTAGTTTATTATTATTTAACTATACTTCAAAAAAATTTTTAATACATTTTTAAAAAAGAAAATGACCCTTAACAAACTCCATTAATTCTCATTCTTATATATAATAAAAATTATCTATGGAACCAAAAGAATTGAAGGAAAGGAACTTTTTTTAAAATTGATGAAAATAAGGAGGGAAAGAACAGGAAGATAATAATTAATTTAAAATACATACAAGTAGTTTATTATTATTGTTATAATTAATGTTAAATATTATCATTTAACAATTGATGAACACTGATTTAGGCTTTATAACTGCTATATTTGTAGACAGTGATTCTCATTATATTGTACTGAACTCCTCCTTCTAAGGTTGCCACTGGAAAATAAATCTTTGAATCTTTTTTATTAATGAGTGGTTCAAAAGGATATACTTCCTTCAGAAGAATGTTCCTGGTTGTTTTGATTATCTTTCTTTTTAAGATATTTTTCCTTTGTTCTCCTTCCGTTGGAAGCCAGGGAAGTCAATACCATTAGTCAATGTTTGAGAACAGTAGGGAGTCCAGGGCAACTGGAGGTCACATAAGAGTTCCTGAGGTTCAGAGGGGACATTGTAAAGCAGCAGAGTCTCCCATTAATTCATCTTTTGCCTTTGGCCATCCCTGGCTCTGCCCAAAATTATTCTTCTCTAGTTGAATCAATAAACTTTAAACTAGATCATCTACTTGGTGAATTATCTGCAGTGGTCTAGACATTCTTCCCATCAAAGATATAAATACCAACCCAAGGGACAAGCATGGAGAAATACAGATCAAATGCAGAGGTTATATATATATAACATCTGTGTTTCTGCTTCAGTCATTGTGATCTTCTTGGTTTTGTCTTAGACCAATTAGCAAAGACAAATATATATATATATATATTATGGCTTATCTGAAGAAAATAGAATGCATGACCGATACTTGGTTTGCTTTAACTTCTTATTAAGAGATTTAAATAAAGGAGAATTTCAAGTAAAGGAATACATGTAAGTCATTCTTAGGAAAGTATTTAGTACCTAGTCCTTTACATTAAGAGAGTATGTGTTCTGTAGTCTTTCGAGAGAAAGAATGGATGAATAGGTGGGTAGATGGATGCTACTTCTTCTTATTTCTGCTTATTGGTTTTAAAAATAAAAATTTCCGTATTAACCCAGAAATGTCAGCACATCCCATTAGCTCTCTAAAATAACTCCCAAAGATGTCTTAAATAAATTTTAAATAACAAATCTGTGTAATAGCTCTGATAAGACATACTTTTACAAGTAAAATACTTCCTCTTACTGACCATGCCTTAGACATTTTTGTGACTTTCTATATCATTGCATGTTAAAAGAACTATTTTATTTAACATTCAGATAACAAATTAGTATATTTTGAAATTTAAATTTTCCATTTTTAACTTCATTAAAATGATAAATTGTGAGAACTATATCACTATTTTCTTCTTATGAAATCTAGCAATATTTTGACCTTTGCAATATCATTCAATAAGCATTACATTTATCTTCTTTCATTGCCCTATAAGAGGCACAAAGAAGATGACTAGATACTTAAAACGTATATGACTGAATAGGTCAGCCTCCCAAATATGCTTAATTGAAGAAGTGGCTTTCAGAATTACATGTTGGTTAATTTTGTAACCTGAATTTATTTTCATTTATGACATCCTGTTACCAAGGAAACATACTGTAAATACCAGATTTCAAATTGTGCTTTTTTTGAGGTCATACATTTACTCTTCTTATGTCAGTTTACCACAGGCAAGGTCCAAATCTAAAATAAGTCATCTGGAAGCTTAGTTACATTTTGTAATAAGTAAATAAGCCAATAATAAATCCTGTGCAGTGTCCCTCAGCACAACAGATCTTCTGGCTTATTTTTGCAATTCGTTGAAGTGCAAAAGGGACTTAAATATCAGGTGCGTATTAGAAGGAAATAATACATAAAAATCTGAGTCATGCTGTCTCTTGATTTTTTAAGTGATTGAGTAGGAGGCATGTAGTACTTGTGTGAGTCAGAAAGAAATATTAAAAATTATATGTTGCTGGAATGTAGGGGGAATACAGGTGCAGTACACATTTCAATGCCTTTTGTGGAAGAATCCTTTGATCCTGGAGACATGCTGATTATAAATGACACTCATTTTGACACCACCGAGCTTTGGAGTTGTACAGAGGAATAAAAAGCTGAGGTTGGCATCGATAATAAAAAGAAGAAAAGGAGCAGTTCTTGACCCCTTGGAAGAGCAAGGCAGTTTCAGAAACACAATTATGTGTTCAGTGGTTCACACAGGTATACCTCTGCCTATTCTAAACCAACAGAATCAGAGACTGCTTAAACAATGCCCAAGGAACAGCATTTCTTGCATCCTGACAACATATTTTTTATGAAAATGCTATAGAGAAGATGCCTGAGTTACTACAGACTGGTACATACAAAATGAAATAAACTTTTGTTCTCAGACTTTACAAAATAAAATGGCCTTATTTCCAACATGGAGACTATAAACTGTCCTAGCCTTTTGCCATACTTATCTCTGGGGGCCTTTGTGCTTGCCTCAGGAGAAGACAAAAACATTGATTAGCTTTATTAACTCAGTGTCAATCTCAATTTTGGGCCAAGGAACTGGCAGTTCTGGAGCTTTGACAACCATGTCCTTTTGGAAATGTGCATCATTTCTGTTGCAAAGGCCAGCAGCTTTTACAGCTGGGTTTTTAATTAGGTCTCTTGGGGGTCAATGAAAGAATATTGGATATGTCTGAGAGAATTTAATGACAAGATGTAACCCTGAGTGAATCTGTGTCAAAAAATAAAGTTTGTGAGGAAGAGAAAATAAAAAGAAAGAACTTTTGTCAATACTTTTAATCAATTTTCCAAAATTCATTTTATAATTAAAAAATAAAAAGTGAGAAATTCTAGTAATTATATCTAAAATCTTTCTGTATATTCTAAAACCTTTCATCCAACCTGATCACACTCCATCACCATTAAAAATGATACTAATATCAAATATTGGCAAGGATGTGGGGAGCAACTGGAACTTATATATTGCTGTGGGTGTGAAAAATAGTACAAACACTTTGGGTAACTTCCTAAAAAATTAAAAATGTACATACCCTTTGTTCTTGCAATTCCACTCTAATATGTACCCAAGAGAGATTAATATATATGTGAATAAAAATAACTGAATAAAAATGTTTCTGACAGTTATATTCATAAAAGCCAAATGCTACAAACATCACAATGTCCACTAGGAGGAGAGTGGATAAACAAATTGTGAAATGTTCATACAATCTTCAGTAATAAGAAAGAGCATGTTTCATAGTTGATTCATGAAACAACATGATAAAGGTCAAAGTCCTTATTGATCAAAAGAAGGCAGTCACAAAATTACACAAACTTAAAGAAGAGAAAAAAACTAAACTGTGACACTATAAGCCAGAATACGATTACCTTTAGTGGTGAAAACTATTTTACTGAGAAGGAGGAAGGGAACTTTCCAGAGTTTAACTTACCAGATGAAATATTTTCAACTTTCCAGATAAAAATATTCTACATCATGGTCTGGATGGTTTTACATGAGTGTAGGCCAAAATCAATATTAAGGTTTGAGAATTTTACTATATGTAAATTTTACGTCAATTAAAAAAAAGATAAGTGAATAACAACAAATAAGAATAATTTATCTAGAAAACCCTAGGTGGAGGGGCCTATCTCCAACTTCACCAGTTACATTCACATCAGCGCCAAATTTCAAAAGAAGGCGGGTTATCTAATACATTAAAGAGTTGAGCTAAAATGTGTAAAGAAGGAATAACATATAGGTTTAATTAATATATTAAAATAATAAATCACGACTTGTAGAATAAATTAGTATATGAGTACAATATTAATCAGCTTCAAGATTATTCTCTAGTTAATAAGGAAAGTATAAGTAAAAGGTATACATAAGTAAAAGATAGCGAAAGTCTTCTAAACATATCTTACCATCTGCTTTGCTGCCTTCTTCCATCAAGAGTTTTGCAATACTAAAAAATCCTTTTGCAGATGCTAGGTGGAGGGGCCTATCTCCAACTTCACCACTTACATTCACATCAGCACCAAATTTCAAAAGGAGGCGGGTTACCTAAAGGATCCATTTATTTGAAATTAGTATCAAAAGTCAAACAATAATGTAAAGCTTTTGGCAATATGGAAGAACACATATCATTAAGGTCTCCTCTTAGATTATTTTTACTTGAAAATATAAGAGAATCCTAACTTAACTGGCCTGAATAGTAAGGAATTTACTATTATACCACCTAACAAGAAGCCCAAAACTGAAGGAATTTCAGGGTTGGGTCTTTGTTGGATATAAATAATCCTCTTTAAAGTCACCTTCTCTAAACAATCTTTTCCAAAGTGTTTTTCTGGCCAGAGCTGACTCTTGATTTTCACAGCAACTGAATGCATAGGTCACCAATGGTAAGTTTGCTGCTGGAGTCCTGGGTCCTTTCCTGGATTTATGAGAAAACAGGAGATAGATGTACTAGCCCTCAACATCTTCCCCAAGTAGCTAAGATCCACATTCCAAGGTATATAGAAAGATGAAGTATTCAACAATTTAGGATTTTTCCAGGAGTTTTTCAAGTAATTTACGGATCCCTTCAAATTATTTACATGTATAGTTAGGGATCTTCCAAATAATTTCTCTGAAACTACATTGGTTCCCATGCAAATTTCAGAAGTCATCACAATGATCCTAAGAGGTAAGTTAGGATGCAGCTATGCCATTAAAAAGCAGTTTAGGAAGGACCCCTCACTTGTCCTGACCATGGAAGTGTCAGCATCAAAGTGATTTAAGCTCTAAAACTACTTGGAGGCAAAAAAGAAAAAAAATTAGCTTGGTGGGATGTTGGGAAATCCCTTATTTAGTATAAAGGGCAAAGAGCAAGGGTTCTGAAATTAGGTTTCTACTTATTAGCTACGTCATCTTGAATAACTCATACGACCTTTTGAAACTTCAGTGTCTTTAGTGTAAGTTGGTAATGATAATAGTTCTACTTCATAGAGTTCTTGTGAGGATTAAGTAAGTCATTATGTAAAGCACTTAGAAATGTGCCTGTTACTCAATAAATGTTAGCAGAAGTGGTAGTACCAATGTGGAACATGTGTATTTTATCCCTTTGTCAGCTAATGGGCAGACTGATACTTAATTCACAAGAAATCAAAACAGTAAAAATTTAGTCTCAAGAACCTTGCACTCCTAAGCAAATATTTCCACTTACACAGACTCCATAAATTCTGATTATGTGACTTTATAATGGACAGACTTAAACTATCTTTGTAATCGATTGTCTATTAAGTATTATTATTATATACCTAGAAAATATTGCTCTTGGTATAAAACATCTACTCTTCCACTTAAAAATAAGTAAATAAACAAATGGCAAGGAACATGGAACACTAGGCACATTTATATATCGAATGTACCACTCTCCTGTCAGCATATTTTAGCAAATGACAATAGCATCCATAAATTACGTATGTGCTGTCTTCACACACAGAAAGTGAGTCCCTTATCATAAAAGGCCCATCCACATTTTAGCATAATTTTATAAGACTGTGAATATATATTCACAGGAAGTAAACAAATTTAGCTCTCCACCCAACATGCAAAGAAGCTCTTTATTTTTCTGCTAGGTGATGAGGTTAATCACCAAAGAGGATGACTCTACAAATAACATGAATTGTGTATGTCTTGTCTGTACCTGAAGTCAGAAAAACCTATGGCATTTTTTCATCACCTGGGCTTTTAGACCTTGTACTTTGAAAAGCATTCTCAGTGCCCCGCTCTCCAGTGCACTCCAGTGCACTCTGAGCAGCACATCAATGAAGTGAGCAATCTTCCCCAGCTATAGGTCATGCTTCACAGGTCTGAGAGTGTCTAAGCATATGCCAGCTAGCAAAGAAATAAAGGCATACTGACTAGAATAGCACAGAGACACAAGTAAGTTGGGTTTTTCAACTTGGGATCCTCGGGCAGTGCAATGGCATGACCTCTCTGAAGGTAAAAAGGTACGATTCTACTCTGTAACTGAGTAAGATGAGAGATCTAGATAATATAAAATGAAGCATGAAAAAGGAATGTCTAAAGAACAATTAACTTTCAGTTATCCAGTTGTGTTTGTATTTCTGTTTTATTTGGTTCTATTTAGAGCCTTGAGTGTAAGTAAAGGTCAGTGCTTGAAAGTAGCATATACAAAGTTCACCTTTTGATATATTAACATCAAAAATCAATAGATTTTGGAGTTAAAGAACCTGGTTTTGAATTCTACCTTTACCACTTAGGCAGATTCCCTGGACTTTATAATTTGTCTCATTGGGTAAAAGAGGGATTAAGAAGAGGATCTTTAGTACAGTAGAATAAATATAGGCTTTGGGATGATGGACCTGAATACATATCCCAGCTTTTACACTAATTAGCTATATTACTCTGGCATGCTAACTAACCTGAGTGAGCTCCATGTGTACCATTGGTAAGAAGGGGCAAATAACAGCTAATTTTAGGAATGTGGCAAAATTTCTTTTAAATCCACATAAAGGTGCCTGTCCCATAGTATTAGACTGCTCACATGGTAACTCAGTTACTAAGTTTATAAGGTTGCTGTGAATGTCAAATGAAATTATTCATTGATGAAGGTACACTGTAAACTTTAAAGCATTCTATGCACATTATTACTTTAACACAGAGTATCAAACTTTATAAATACATACTTGTATAATTGTATATTTAAAGTAAACTATATATTTACATGTGATTTTTTTTAGTTTATCTGGAGTATTCCATGTATTAGTTTCCCATTGTTCTGAAGCAAATTGCCACAAATTTATTGGATTAAAACAACACATATTTATTCTCTTATAGTTCCGAAGGTCAGAAGTCTAAATTAAAAATGTGAGCAGGTTGCATTCCCTCTGGAGGATTTCAATTCCTTTTTTTTTCAGCTTCTATAGGCTGATTGCATTTCTTAGCTTGTGACTCTCTCATTCTTTTAATTTTTACAATTTTACTTTTAAAAATTTTAGAACTATTTGTTCCGGTTCTTTGAAGAACGCTGTTGGTATTTTGATAGGGATTGCATTGAATCTGTAGATTGCTTTAGGCTAGATGGCCATTTTGACAATATTAATTCTTCCTAGCCAAGAGCATGGAATGAGTTTCCATTTGTTAGTGACCTCTTTAATTTCTCTTAAGAGTGTCTTGTAGTTTTCAGGGTATAAGTCTTTCACTTCCTTGGTTAGGTTTATTTCTAGGTATTTTATTCTTTTTGATGCTATTGTGAATGGAATTGTTTTCCTGATTTCTCTTTCAATTAGTTCAATGTTAGTGTATAGGAAGGCCACAGATTTCTGTGTGTTAATTTTGTATCCTGCAACTTTGCTGAATTCCTATATTAGTTCTAGTAGTTTTGGAGTGAAGTCTTTAGGGTTTTTTATGTACAATATCATGTCATCTGCAAATAGTAACAGTTTGACTTCTTCTTTACCAATCTGGATTCCCTGTATTTCTTTGTTTTGTCTAATTGCTGTGGCTAGGACCTCAAGGAAGAGTGGGCATCCCTGTTTTGTTCCCGATCTTACACGAAAAGCTTTCAGCTTCTCGCTGTTAAGTATGATGTTGACTGTGGTTTTATCATATATGGCCTTTATTATGCTCAGGTACTTACCCTCTATACTCGTTTTGTTGAGATTTTTTACAATGAATGGATGTTGAATTTTGTCGAATGCTTCAGCTTCTATGGAGATGACTTGTGTTTTTTGTCCTTTTTGTTGATGTGGGGGATGATGTTGATGGATTTTTGACTGTTGTACCCTCCTTGCATCCCTGTGATGAATCCCACTTGATCATGGTGTATGATCCTCTTGATGTATTTTTGAATTCAGTTTGCTAATATTTTGTTGAGTATTCTGTTGAGTATCTATGTTCATCAGGGATATTGGTCTGTAGTTTTCTTTTTTGGAGGGGTCTTTGCCTGGTTTTGGTATTAGAGTGATGCTGGCTTCATAAGAATGAGTTTGGAAGTATTCCCTCCTCTATTTTATGGAAAACTTTAAGGAGAATGGGTATTATGTCTTCTCTGTATGTCTGATAAAATTCCACAGTAAATCCATTTGGCCTGGGGGTTTTTCTCTTGGGTAGTTTTTTGATTACTGATTCAATTTCATTGCTGGTAATTGGTGTGTTTAGATTTTCTGTTTCTTCCATGGTCAGTCTTGGAAGGTTGTATTTTTCTAGAAAGTTGTCCATTTCTTCTAGGTTTTCCAGCTTGTTAGCATATAGATTATTATAGCATTCTCTAATGATTCTTTATATTTCTGTGGGGTCTGTCATGATTTTTTCTTTCTCACTTCTGATTCTGTTGATGTGTGTAGATTCTCTTTTTCTCTTAATAAGTCTGGCTAGAGGCTTATCTATTTTGTTTATTTTCTCGAAGAACCAGCTCTTGGTTTCATTGATTTTTTCTATTGTTTTATTCTTCTCAATTTTATTTATTTCTTCTCTGATTTTTATTATGTCTCTCCTTCTGCTGATTTTTGGGCCTCATTTGTTCTTCTTTTTCCAATTTAAATAATTTTGACTTTAGAGTTTTCATTTGGGATTGTTCTTCCTTCTTTAAACAGGCCTGAATTGCTGTATACTTTCCTCCTAGAATGCCTTTGCTGTGTCCCACAGAAGTTGGGGCTTTGTGCTGTTGTCATTTGTTTCCATATATTGCTTAATCTCTATTTGAATTTAGTCATTGATCCATTGATTATTTAGGAGCATGTTGTTAAGCCTCCATGTGGTTGTGAGCCCTTTTTTTCTTTTTGTATAATTTATTTCTAGTTTTATACCTTTGTAGTCTGAAAAGTTGGTTGGTAGAATTTCAATCTTTTTCAATTTACTGAGGCTCTTCTTGTGGTCTAGTTTGTGGTCTATTCTGGAGAATGTTCCATGTGCATTTGAGAAGAATGTGTATCTTGCTGTTTTGGGGTCTTGAGTTCTGTAGATGTCTATTAGGTCCATCTGTTCTAGTGTGTTGTTCAGTGCCTCTGTGTTCTTATTTTCTGTCTGGTGGATCTGTCCTTTGGAGTGAGTGGTGTGTTGAAGTCTCCTAAATTGAATGGATTGCATTCTATTTCCTCATTTAATTCTGTTAGTATTTGTTTCACGTATATTGGTGCTCCTGTATTGGGTGCATATATATTTATAATGGTTATATCCTCTTGTTGGACTGAGACCTTTATCATTACGTAATGTCCTTCTTTATCTCTTGTTACTTTCTTTGTTTTGAAGTCTATTTTGTCTGATACCAGTATTGCAACACCTGCTTTTTTCTCTCTGTTGTTTGCATGAAATATCTTTTTCCATCCCTTGACTTTAAGTCTGTGCATGTCTTTGGGTTTGAGGCGAGTCTCTTGTAAGCAGCATATAGATGGGTCTTGCTTTTTTATCCATTCTATTACTCTGTGTCTTTTGATTGGTGCATTCAGTCCATTTACATTTAGGGTGATTATTGAAAGATATGTACTTATTGCCATTCCAGGCTTTAGATTCATGGTTACCAAAGGTTCAAGGGTAGCTTCTTTACTATCTAACTGTCTAACTTAACTCACTTATTGAGCTATTATAAATACAGTCTGATGATTCTTTATTTCTCTCCCGTCTTATTCCTCCTCCTCCATTCTTTATATATTAGGTGTTTTATTCTGTTCTCTTTTGTGTTTCCTTTGACTGCTTTTGTGAGTAGTTGATTTTATTTTTTGCCTTTACTTAGTATTTGGTTGGTCTGCTTTCTTTTCTGTGATTTTATTTTCTCTAGTGACATCTATTTAGCCTTAGGAGTGCTTCCATCTAGAGCAATCCCTTTAAAATATCCTGTAGAGGTGGTTTGTGGGAGGCAAATTCCCTTAACTTTTGCTTGTCTGGGAATTGTTTAATCCCTCCTTCATATTTAAATGATAATCATGCTGGATACAGTATTCTTGGTTCTAGGCCCTTCTGTTTCATTGCATTAAATATATCATGCCATTCTCTTCTGGCCTGTAAGGTTTCTGATGAGATGTCTCATGATAGCTTGATGGGTTTTCCTTTGTAGGTGACATTTTTTCTCTCTCTGGCTGCCTTTAGCACTCTGTCTTTGTCCTTGATCTTTGCCATTTTAATTATTATGTGTCTTGGTGTTGCCTTCCTTGGGTCTCTTGTGTTGGGAGTTCTGTGGGCTTCCATGGTCTGAGAGACTATTTCCTCCCCCAGTTTGGGGAAGTTTTTAGCAACTATTTCTTCAAAGACACTTTCTATCCCTTTTTCTCTCTCTTCTTCTTCTGGTACCCCTATAATGCGAATATTGTTCTGTTTGGATCAGTCACACATTTCTCTTAATATTCTTTCATTCCTGGAGATCCTTTTATCTCTCTCTGCATCAGCTTCTCTGTATTCCTGTTCTCTGATTTCTGTACCATTAACAGTGTCTTGCACCTCATCCAGTCTGCTCTTAAGTCCTTCCAGAGATTGTTTTATTTCTGTATTCTCCCTCCTTACTTGATCCTTTAGCTCTTGCATATTTCTCTGCAGGTTCATCAGCATGATTATGACCTTTATTTTGAATTCTTTTTTCAGGAAGATTGGTTAAATCTATCTCCCCAGGCTCCCTCTCAGTGGTTGTCTGGGTAATTCTGGAGTGGATCAAATTCTTCTGCCTTTTCATGGTGATAGAAGTAGTTTTAGACAGTTGGTGCATGTGTTAGCTGGGAGAACAATGTCGCTTCCTGCTCCTTGCCCTCCTTTGCTGCCTGTGCCGGTTACCCGCACATGGGGAGCAGCTTCTGGTTTTATTTCCTGAGCTGCCAGAGGCAGGATAGCCATCGGGGCAGCCCAGAGACCCGCGGGGAGGAGCAGGCATGCCAGATGTGCTCTCTTGTGAGAATGATGACCTTTTGCACCCTGTCCCTGCTTCCTCTGTCTGTGCTGGGCCTCCGTGTGCTGGCAATGCCTCTGAGTCTGGCCCGGGCATCTGTGGAGGAGGCTCTGGGCTGCTGCTGTGCATATGGCCGCTCTCAGGCTGCTCCCCTGCTGTGACAGGGCCGCATGGGAGGAAAAATGGACAGGAGGCTGTTTTTAGCTGTGAGGAGCTTCAGAGCTGCACTGTCGCCCAGGGGGTTAGGGTTCCTGGAGTTCCCCGGGATTCCCAGCTGCTGGGCCAAGTGTGCCAGGATGATTCCATCCAGCTGTGAGGCCCCTGTCACTTTAAGACTTTCAAAAAGCACTCTCTTTTATTTTGTCCCAGGGGTGCTGGCTGCGGGGATCTGCTCACAGGTTTTACTGTTCTGTTCCCCTAATATCCAGCACACCACAGAATGTGTGTCTGTGCTCCCGGTGCGGATGACTAGGGCTGGGTATTTAGCAGTCCTGGGCTCCCACTCTCTCCCTGCTCCGGCTCCTTTCCTCCTGCTGGTGGGCTGGGGTAGGGGGAGCACTAGGGTCCCCCGGGGCCATGGCTTGTTTCTTACCCCCTTCATGAGTTGCTGAGTTCTTGCAGATGTAGATGTAGCCTGGCTATTGTATTGTATCCTCTGGTCTCTCTTTTAGGAATAGTTGTATTTGTTGTATTTTCAAAAATATATATGGTTTTGGGAGGAGATTTCTGCTGCCCTACTCATGCCACCATCTTGGCCACTCTCCCTTGTGACTCTCTCTTGTATCACTTCCACCTCTTGCTCTTATTGTCACATCTCCTATTAGTTACTCTGATTTCTTGCTGCCTATTATAAAGACTCATGATTATATCAGGCCCATCTAGATAATACAGGATAATCTCCCCATCTCAAGATCTTTAACTTGATCACATCTGCAAAGTCTCTTTTAAGGTAACATTCACAGGTTCCAGAAATTAGAATACGAACATATTTTGGGAGACATTTTTCAGTCTGTCACATTCAAGAAAAGTAGAAAAGAAGAAACCCATTTTCTGAAAGACATCTTTTTTGGTGGGGAACTGAGAAGGTCTTTATGATTTAGTTTGTTGTTATTGTCATTAGCATCACAGTGATGTTTCCTGAGCATTTACCAAACACTTTACATTAATGTGGCATCATAACAGCAACCCTATAATGTAGGTACTATTCATATTTTCTCCATTTTATAGATGAAGAAACTGTAGATCAGGGAGATTATATAAACTACATATGGTCACAAAGCTAGGAGTTTTTCAAATTCAGGCTGGATGATTCCTATGGCCATACACCAAGGTACTCTACTGCCTCCCTTGTGTACTAAAATAGTTTGTAAAAATGAAAAACCCAGCAACTACTATGTTTCTATCAATCTACAAGCTCCTCAAGGATGGAGCTCATGAGCATGTGGCAAAAATAATTCAGAGGATATCTTAAACATTCTTTCTTTGAATCCAGGACAGTTCAACACAAGCTTGGAGCTCTTAAGTGGCCCCCTAGCCTGTGGAAATCCTACTGTCAGACTTGCCTGTTCGTGCCCATAGTATGCTGCAATGTGCAGTGGAGTGAAGAAAACCGCATCTTGAACGTTGACATTCGCTCCACGTTGCAGGAGTACATCAGCAGCCTGGAAAAGAGAAAGAACCTGGTTAGGAGCTTCTTCTGGACCAGCTGCTTATCAAAATTCATTTCAGCCACTATGTTCAATGCTTCTTCAGGAGTCACCTGAAGAAGAAACAGTTTCTTCCATATCTCTTCTCTGAATCCTCCAATGAGTTGCTTTTGCCTAGAAAATAAACACCAAATCCCTTACTCTGGCTTTCAGAAGTCCTCTCCATCTGATGGCATACTGTGTCATGCATTTCCCATTACTCTCATAAACACAATTGCATAGTCAAAATGCATTCCATTTTCTGCTCCTGTGAACATTTGTTCACATTATTTCCTTAGTCAGATGTCCTCTTCTGCCCAATCTACAGATATTTTAACCCAAGCTAAATGCCAACTCCTCCAAGATTTCTTTGATTTCCCTCCCTTTGTTACCAAATGGCTTGCCAAAGTTATCTTCTTTCCCCTTGAATCATATATAACTTTCTTTCATGATGTTTAGAACATTTGAAAGTTTATATACATGCCTTATCTTCCCTACTAGAGAACTTGTTTATCAGATTCATTTTTACAATCCTACCCTACCATGTTGCTATGTAAATGGTAATCATTCAGTAAGGATTTGTTGAATGAATGAATGAGCAAGTGAAAAAAATGACCAGGAGCTTATTGGCCAACTGCCTTTATGGAAAGCCATTGATTGCCAACAAAACTACTGACCCTTCAGATTTCTTCTCCTCCCAATGACCCATCCTTAAGTCTTTCTTCACTGGAAGATTGATTGGAATCTTTTGTTCAGATGTGTTCATTTCACTGTGGGTTTTCCTATGCACTGTCTACTCTTCATTTAATCAAATAATATATATTTGGGAAAATTTTCAAGTCTTTTAGACTTAGTAGGGGAGGTGTCATGGGGAAGACAGTGTAGCACAGAGAAGACAAGTAGTGATTCTGTGGCATCTTACCACACTGATGGACAGTGACTACAATGGGGTATGGAGTAGGGACTTGATTATATGGGTGAATCGTAGCAACCACATTGTTTTTCTTGTGAAACCTTCATAAGAGTGTGTATCAATGATACTTTAAAAAAAAACATTAAAAAAAGTCTTTTAGACTGAGAAAACAGAATGATGGGACCTAAGAGCTCAAGGGACAACACATCTTCTGTTCCTAAAAATTAATTGCCTCTTAAGTCATGTTTCCTTGCCAGTTTGAACCATAGCCCTTCAGAACTGGAGAGGGACCATGGAGTACATATCAAACCTTTATGTTTTAAAATGGAATAAATTGAGAATTAGGAGAATTAGGAAATTTCTCAAAGTTATGGAGCAAGTCAGCACTAGCAGGGAAGTGAATCTTTACTCTTGTTTCAAGATTTGTTTTTGAGTGCTCTGTAGTTTTAAATAGTTTATTTATTCAGCCATCCATTTGTTCATCAATACAATTTACTGAGCATACATGAGCTAAATTTGTGTTATTTCACAGTCTTACAACTTATTCAATAACTGAAATAACATTAGAACTGATTGGAATTGTCATACAAAGAGATAAGGAATTCTTGTTGGAGCATGGGCAGTTTCTGGTAGATCCAAACATAAGCAGGTGTATAGGTTTCTATACATTCCCAAAATAATGCTTTGCTGATATTTGGATATTGTTTACTAATCAACAGAATACACTATGTGTACAGTGAGTTGTTTTTCTAATAAAAAAATAACATTTACTAAGGGCATTTCTGTGTCAGACCCTAAAGTAAGTGCATAAATGGTAACTCGAGTGTCCCTTGTTTTACCCCAAAACACAGAAAGATAAGTGCTGCTCTCCCATTTTTAAAGGTGAAGACACTGAGCTGAGCCTTTGGGAGGCTAGGTAATTTATTTGAGGTGATACAGTTTTGGGGCAGTAAGGGGCAGAAGTGGAGTTCAAATCTAGGACTGTCTGACTACAAAATTTCTTTCCATCAGGCCCCTCCTGTGACTTTGATCTCATTAACATTAACCTTTAAGTAAATGAACTAATTGACTCAGTCTGAGATAAGAGGAAGCTTTCTGTCATTGGAAGCTCCAGATTCAGCTTTGAAATGAGTGCCAGAGCCATTTATATCAAGTGCTTGGTATCTTAGATTTTATATGCCTAGAAGTTCAGTCTCAGGAACCTTTAAAGGAGGTCACAAATGATGAAGGTAAATGAAGCTTTTTACGATTTCTCTTGTTTTAAATATAGCATAAAATAAAATAGACAGCATGAATTTTTATTATAAAAAGACTCTCAAATGTTAACATATAGAACCAATTTCTTAGGCATGGTTCCAGAACTTACTTTCATTCTAAAGGATAACAGCTCTTAGGCTTCACTAAATAGTCCAAAGCATATTTTTTTTCCTCCAAAGTTCGCACTTATCAAGTCATTGAGAAGGTCAGTCTTTTGGTTGAACATTCGTTAATTATGAAGTGTTGGCCTTCTGAGAAACTGTCAAAACGTAAGTTTTAATGAAACCACACAGAGTGATTATTGAACTGTAGGCTTTATTTAGCTTGTTTTAAAATCCAAGGAACAATTTAACCATTGAGAGAAATGTACATAGGAATTACCTGAATAATTTCACACATTATTTGTATGGGTAGAATGCATTTATTGATTTTTTGTGATTTTTTTGAGTCATGATGGGAAGAGTATCTCCTAGTAATCTTATGGAAATATAACATGTTGTGATATATAAATATGCCTGTCATGTGGCTAAGACAAATGTACTCCTATTAACATTTAGGCTGGAACATATATCTAGCAAGTCATTTTATCTATGCTTCCCCTACTCCAGAACCTGAAAAGCTGGTAAATCAATGGCACATTCTTTCTACTACAGGAAGCCCCATGAATTCAGACTGAGTCTATTTTATTTACCACTATGCTAAATATATGACAAGCCTACAAATAATTGTTGAATTGGACTGTATTTCTAGTAAAAACAATAATTGGAATACATATCTACCATCTGACATAAGGGAATTTAAACATTAACAATTTATATGATAGAAATTTTAAATAATTCAACTCAACAAACATTTATTGATAATTTATGTCAAATTAACGTTTAGCAAACCCCAAGTGCCTGTTTCTTGCCAAGAACTGTGATTAGAGTTTTATACACATTATCTCAGTGAGAGTTTTGCAGGACATAAAATTCTATTACTTTAAAATTTTTTGAGAAAATATTTAGCTTTGATTTTTTTTCCCTCAAAAACACTAACAAAACTACTAGTGTAATTATAAACTAGAAACAAGTCATCACAGAAAGGGTATTTTAATAATCTTTAAACTCTTTAAGGAAATGAGCTGTATCATACTTAGGTTTACATAACTGACATATATCAGTATTATTATTATTATTAAAGGACCAAGAATCAAATATAGGCTAGTAACTCAGCACCTTTTGTTGATGGAAGGATAAACACCACAAAGTGCCTCTCATTAAGTGGTTTGTTAAGCAGAGAAAATGGATCAGGAGCCTTTATTTTGAGAGTAGGAATTTATTATATACATTACCCTTTACAGATATTTTTATTTACCAGTTGACTTCCAAAAAAACTCAAGTGGAGTCCCTTCAATTTCCACGTTGTAATTTAAATGTCTATTTGCACATTCTGCTCTTTCCTCCTAGAAAGCCTCCCTTCTCTTTCTCTGCCTGCCACATACCCAGTCTCAAGGCCAAGTTCAGTTCCCACGTTCTCTATCAGAAGTTACTAAGAATACTTTATTAATCATAGATGATCATTTCTTTCTCTGACTGTTTATACTACTCATCCTTAAAACCTAATCTTTCCATTTATTATCACTGTGGGCAAACTACTATGATGTGAAAATTAAGCCTTTTTTTTTTAATGTTCTAAATTTATATCAATGAAGTGTAAGAAGTCTTGGTTTCACATAAAAGAACTTTTTACCTGAGGCACTGGAATTTAATCCTTCTAAATAAAATAGCCAGACCTAATCATTTAAATTCCAGAGATGCTAAAAATAATGCATGTAAGAGAAAGGCCCCAACTGTCCTTGCTTCCTGAATGTTTCACCTACAATATGACTTTACTTATTTGATTTGATCACATTTAATTACCCCACTATACTTCATGTATGAAAGTTGTTGATAGAGATGAAGAAGAAAAAAAATTACCATATCAAGAAGACCTAAATGTCCCATGGAGAAGAAAGAATAAGGTGAATTCTAGATGGGATAAAATGGCAATCAATCTCAGTTGAAATTGCCAAAATTAAATAGAGTGTCTTATACTTAGTAGATCTTCAATAAATATCTACACTTTGAAATTAAATTTTTTCTTTGCTCTAAGTGATACATCATTTTCTATGTCTTCTTTGGAGTCTTCCTCAAGTTTATGCTTACACCAATATTTTCCTTAGGTTTTATAGTTTGTTTTAAGCCACTATTTTCTCTTCTGTTTGTCTTTATATAACTTTTCTAATTATTGAGACTTAAAGAGGTAGAACCATGAGGTTATACTAGGATAATCCTCATTTCCATGTAATGGGAAAACTGTACTTGCAAAGTTTTAGAGGAAAATGTTTTCTAAAACTTATGCTCCATGAATTCAAAATGATCCCAAGGGCATTAATATTCAAGTTGACTTAGATTTGATATTTTCAAATTATTTCCAGTTCTAACTTTTAAAAACTAGTTCTCAATTGTGACTCCTTGAACTATTGTCCTCTCTCCTACACTTTACTGACAATCATCTTTTAAGAGAAGTCTGTACCTTTTGTCCAAATTTCCTTACCTCCTACTCACTCCTCAGCCTACTGCAATCTGGTTTTAGACTTCACCACTTCAGGGAAATTCCTCTGAAAAAAACTACATCAAAGGCCTCCTAATTGCCCATTCCAATGGATACTTTTTGGTGTTTTCCTTATGTTAATATTTCTACAGTATTTGTTCTCAGTTGCCAGCTCCTGAAGACCCCATCCTCCTTTAGATTGACATCATGAGTTTGAATTTGTTCCCTATCT